TAATAATAATAATAATAATAATAATAATAATAATAATAATCCATTTATTCATAAAAAAAAGGGGCGTTACAGTATGGTTGATAGATAAACCTTCTCTCCATTCAGTGAGGATTAAGTATTGATTATCAAAATCCAATTGATACCTTTCGCCACACTAGCCATGTTTTCCTTACTTTCAAAAATAAATTGGAAGTAATTATGCCCTAATTCCTTAATATGAAGCCTACCTCTCGCTCTGATAGAGAGAATTTTTTTAAGCGATCTGCAAGCTCGTCGTCGTGACCGATAAATGTGGATGAACCGATAAGGACCAAGCCCTAATTTTTCCAATCAATGGCATGAAGGGCGATTGAGGATTGCAACCAGACAAGGAGAACTGGAAAATTGAAGATTCGATCGATTAATGAGGAAGATGAAAAAGAAATCGCTCCGCTAAGAAAGAATGGAATCGCTCCCCTAAGAGATATGTAAGGATGGCAGCGGTTCGGGTTCGGATCAGATGGAACCTCAGGGCACCCAAAACCAAAACCCAAACTTAAAAACCAAAACCAAAACCAAAACTGTTTCGGGTGAAAATCCTTCACCAAAACCAAAACACGCGGATACCCAAAAACCAAACGGATACCCAAAAAACCAAAAATATTATAATAAAACACCAAAGACAACAACATAAAACATGATAACTTAGAGAGTACCAGGCAACCAGTCAAAAATTAGCAAGTACCAACGTACAGTACAAGCCATAAAGGTAGTAGAGTACATAGCTAAGCCAAGCCATCACGGTAGACGGGGAGAGGATAAGAGGGAGAGGAAATTTCCACTTATATAGCTAGGGTTTTTGGTGGGCTTTTTGATGAGCCGTCTATTTTGGGCACCCAACGGAGCACCACGGGCGAAATATAGGATTCGCACCAAAACCGAAGACTTTCGGGTACCCAAAACCGCAAAACCGTGGGTGAAATTTGAGAACCAAAACCGAAAACCGCAGAACCAAAAACCGCGGATATCCAAACCGAAACCGAACCGCTGCCATCCCTAGAGATATGAGAAGTAGTTTCTTACAGAGTCCATATGGTAGCTACAAAAAATAGTAGTTTTAAACGAACTTTATATCTATATATTGATATTCATACTTCTTTAAGTAAATTCAAACTTTTTCTTTTTTCTCATTGGATTACGATTATTTTATTTGTTTCTTATTTTATTCACAACTGATATTTTATTTGTTGAAATCATAGCAGTTTATCTGTGTTGCGTCATTTTTTATAGGATATAGCCATATTATAGCATAACAGGTCGAGTGCTCACTACCCAACTAAATAATAAGCATACGAGTAGGCTTATGCTAGTACATTTGATATAGCCCTATTATTATAGTCCGGTACACTTGTTGATTACTCGGCCGAATGGCCACTAGCGATGATATCGACAAAGTCGACTTTCCCCGAGGTCGACCCTGTTCATGATTAATCAAAGTATTGCCTCCAGCACGATAGCGACTCCAAGACGATTCACCTAAGTCGACTTCTATAGTCGACTCCTCTTAAAAAGACGAACAAGCGAAGCGCAGTCTCCAAATACCGATAAGCAACCCAAGTCGACTCGACGATACTCAGAGTCGACTTATCCAGCCTCGAGGCTCCTTGAGCTCCGACGACTCCAATATATCGGGACAACGCGAGGAGATCTCCGAACAAGGCTAAACCTACATAGGAATCTGGATGCTGACTAAGAGGTAGACGGAATGCGAACCGACCAGGGCATTTTGGACACTTCACGTAAGTCGGCCAGGGCATCTCGGGCACTTCAGGTAAGTGTTCTGCCTCTATATAAAGGAGCTGAGGTAACCCCAAACCCTAACTTTCATTCTCTACATTCATTTTCTCTCATTTGCTGCTCCTACTGAGCAGAGCTCACTTAATCATTCTCATACTGACTTGAGCGTCGGAGGTTCTACGCCGGAAATACTTCCAGCGTTGAGTTCTTGCAGGTGTTTACGGCGGCTCGAAGATGATTTGAAGGCGGTTCGAACATATCGGAGCTCTTTACCATAGGTTCACTCTATTGGAACCCATGAGGATCTCGATATGCACAAATCACGGACAAACATTCAACATAAACCTATGCGCAGCGGATCTAAAGGTTTGATGAAGAATACTTACTGCTTAAAATTTATGTAGATCTGGCTGGCCCGAACAGTTGACCGCAAATCAAATCTTCTCGGAATCGAACAAACTTGACCAATCCGGAAAGCTGACGTCACGGCAAAATCAATGGCGTTGACCGATCGGAAATCGGACTTCTCACGCGCTCTCACGCACGACGACAAGTTCCAGCAGCAGCTCCCTTCAGGCGGCGCGTGCGGCGGCGGCTGGCGGCGATCTCGGCGGCGATCTCTTCGTCTCGCCGTCCTGGTCGTCGTGGTATGGTCACTTGCTGGTTTTGGTCTCCGGTTTGGATGTATGATTGGAATCTCTATATACCTTAAGATCTTCTACTGTATTCTCAAAACAACTTTCTAGATCTTGTATCAGTGGAGCACAAGAAATAGAAGAACTCCTTGGAAGAGAGAGAAAGAGAGCTGGACGTGTTTCCCAAGGTGTGGGATTGTTCTGTTCTCTTCTATGAGCCTAATGCTGTATATATAGAGCTACAATAGGGACCCTAAGGAGAATAGGATAAGGGCTTCTAATATATTAATATTGTGGAGCAACCCCAAAATTAATATATTAATAATATTAAAGTCCACCACAATAATA